CTATTTGACATCACAGAGATGGAACACCTTATGGGAATCACCCATTTCTAGCCAAGTTCTCTTCTTGTTTGACTATAGTGGTATAAGCAAAGCAACTCACTAGGCTAGATGTTGAATAGGAATGTGATATATCAAAGATCTTGTCAATTTGGTAAATGGAATTACCAATTGGTGCTTGGCAGCTGTCTCTGTCTGGATGGGAGCAAACAAATTGAAATTGAATCCAGACAAGACAGAGGTATTCCTGGTCAGTCACAAGGCTATACAGGGTATAGGGTTACAGCCTGTGTTGGACGGGGTTACACTCCCCCTGAAGACTCAGATTCACAGCTAGGGAGTTCTCCTTGACTCATCACTGAGCCTGGAACCTCAGGTCTTGGCAGTGGTCAGGGGAGCATTCGCACAATTAAAACTTGTGCACCAGGTGCACTCATATCTTAGAAAGTCAGATTTGGCCATGGTAGTCCACGCTCTGGTTACATCCTGAATAGACTGTTGCAAAGTGCTCTACATAGGGGTGCCTTCAAAAACTGTTTGGAAGCTTCAAATAGTCCAACGGACAGCAGCCAGGTTGTTCACCGGAGCGGCGTACACAGAGCATACAACCCCCTGTTGCATCAGCTCCACTGGCTGCTACCGAGCACAATTCAAAGTGCTGGATTTAGCCTATAAAGCCCTAATGGGCTTTATAGGCTAATGTATCTGAATGTATCACCTTCTATGATCCATCTCAGAATTTAAGATCATCTGGGGAGGCCCTGCTATCGGTCCTGCCACCTGCACAGGCATGTCTGGTGGGAACAAGAGACAGGGCCTTCTCAGTGGTGGCCCGTTGGCTGTGGAACTCCCTCCCCAGTAATAGTAGAGCAGCCTCCTCCTTCCTGGCCTTCAGAAGGAAAGTGAAAACCTGGCTCTGGGGTCAAGCTTTTGGAAATTAACTACAGTGCACAAATAACTATAAAATATGTGCAATGATTTTTGGAATGGCCCTGGATTACAATTGTGGATGATGTGATTTTAATAGTGACTATAATGTTTTTATGATTGAATATGCATTTTAATTCTAATTTTAAATTTTAAAATTTTAACGTAAATGTATTTAATTGTTTGTTCTCTAAAAGAATCAAATAGTTGCCATTTGTAAAGCTGCCTTGAGCCCCCTTCAGGGTAGAGATAGGCAGGATATAAATAGAGCAAATAAATAAATTATTACCAATGTCTTGTAATATTATCTGCTAAGGAAAAAAATATATAGCAAATCAATCGAATGTATCTGAAAAATAGCCAAATGCAATTCTTTTCTGACAGGAGTGGTAAGGGAGTCCATGGGTTGCATGCATTCCCCCACCTGTTTTTATATTTCCCAAAATAAAAATATTTTTTTCGGGTAAATTAAAATGCTCTTGAGCAGCCTCTACACCACCAGGCGGTTTGGATTTCCACTTTGAACACTTCTCACTCACTCACATAAGCACACATTTACCACCCCCTACCCTGCCAATTTTTTTTTAAAAAACTGCAACATTGAATACTGGAAATAGACTCAGTATTTTCCAGGACAGGTTTTTGTTGGTTTTTTTTTTTTACTGAAAATCTAGAAATGTAGCCTGGTGCAGGAATGCAGGGGCAGAAACTGGTTCTTGTCATTGTTGTCTATTTTTATTTTATCAAATCACAAAATTTCTTATGCAAGCAGAGTGCTTTCAGGGATTCAAGGGAATTATGCATAGACAAAATGTTAGCAGCACTTTTATTTTTCTATTGATAAGTGATTCCATTAATATACCTTACAGCCAGACACTGGGAGTACTATCAGACCACAAACCTCTTGAGACAAAAACAACATCTCTTCTGAGTACCCCAAAGAGATTACAGTGTAGACTAATGTATCTACAGTGACATGAAGTAGAGATTAATTACTACTCTGGTCAATTACTAGCATTAGCAGATAGCCTTAGTAGTGTGTATACATACACCTAGCAGCAGCAGACCGAGAAAAGGGGACCTAGATAGTGAATTCATCCAGGTTCATTACCTCGTAATCCAATCCCCATGAGTATATGGAGACCGCTACAAAAGACATACAGCCTTGGGCATAGGTTTTGAAACAATGTCCTGAAGTGAGACTCATGTGCCATCACCAAGAAGTCTTATATCAAATATGAGCTCAATGTGCAGGACTAGATTTTGATATCTTAGAGCAATCTTTCCAGCAGTCTTACCTGAAGGAAGTCATTCACAAAATATGTGCACGGGCACTGTTTCAGGAGGAGAAAGGATGGGATGCATTGGACCTCAATGAACCTACAACTTCACTCTGATAGAAAGCTGGGAAAATAAACAAGAGTATTTTGCTAGAATTTACCTAGCAGAAAATAGGAAATGATATGTTTGCTTGCAAGGAGATGAAGTATTTGCTTATAGATTACTGTTACTCCAGTGTTAAGGAGGTTAATACCATCTCTGATAGTAGATATACAGCAGTCACGACAGCTTATTTTGCAAGATATTTTCAGACAATGGACACTGGCAGGTATGAAGGCTTTTCCTCTTGTTATCACATAATAAAAGATATTTTACTTTTGGGACTACCTTGCAATTAGTTATTTTCTCCAATTTAGCAACATTGCTTTTAGATAGGTTCGTAGTTAGAAATACCGATTTCTCATTGTTAATTTTAAAGCCTGACGCAATACTAAATTCATTGATAATTTCAAATAAGGCATGCATGCTTCTTAAAGGTTCCCTTAAGAAACAGACCAAATCATCTGCATACGCCTTCCCTTTAAATTCATACCCTTTTACTTTAACTTGTTTTATTTCACTACTTCTCTAATTCTACTGTTCAAAGTTTCTAGTATCCAAATGAACAGTCGGGGAGACAAGGGACAGCCTTGTCTTGTCCCTTTTTGAATTTCTATATAATTTAACATTTGATCATTTATTTTTAATTTGGCTCTTTGTCTTGAGTAGATAGCTCCTATTGCCTTTCTGAATGTTGACCTATTCCGAAATGGTCTAATACTTTAAACATATAGTCCCACCGCACATTGTCAAATGCTTTCTCTGCATCTAAGAACAGTAACGAGATCTCTCCATTTGGGTCTTGTTCAGCGTACTCTAATATATCTATCACCGTTCTCATGTTCCGGCTCATATGCCTACCTGGGAGGAAGCCTACTTGATCCCCATCAGACGCAGCCCTAGGTAATTTTCAACAGTAAGCAAACAGTATTTTGGCACACCCCACCCCCCAACCAATCATATATATTTTCTGTTTGTCGTGGGAGTTCTGTGTGTCATATTTGGTTCAATTCCATCATTGGTGGAGTCCAGAATGCTCTTTGATTGTAGGTGAACTATACATCCTAGTAACTACAACTCGCATATGTCAAGGTCTATTTTCCCCCAAGAGCACCTCAAGAGTGCCCCTGGGCAAAATCAACTATACTGCAAATGCTTGCTTTGCATAATGGGTTGAGCTGTCCCTGATCCCCATGTACTCATTTGGTTAAGTTTTTTTCAACCTGTTCGCAAAAATTTCTGCAAATAACTTATCATTATTGGCAAATGAAATTGGTCGATAATTCTTCACTTGCTCAATATCTCTGTCTTGTTTAGGTAAAAGAACTATTGTAGGGGGAACTAGTCAAGGGAAGGAGGGAAGGGAAATTGGGGCTCACTCTGCGTCTAAACCGCACCACCGGGTCTCTTGTTTGGATGTAGTTGGAAAGGATGTTCAAAGAGCAGGCTGGTGTCTCCCTGGCTTCCCAATCTGAGGTGGTCAGCCTTAGAAGCCAGGGAGGACGGGCGGGGTGGAGTGGGGGGCTTCAGTCCAGGCAAACTCCTGGTCAAGGGAAGGAGGGAAAGGAAATTGGGGCTCACTCCGCATCTAAACCGCATCACCGGGTCTCTTGTTTGGGTATAGTAGGAAAGGGAAGTTCAAAGAGAGGGGCTGGTGCCCCCAAGAGCATCCCTGGCTTCCCAATCGGAGGTGGTCAGCCTTAGAAGCCAGGGAAGGTGGGGTGGGGTGGAGTGAGGGGCTTCAGACCAGGCAAAATCCTGGTCAAGGGAAGGAGGGAAAGGAAATTGGGGCTCACTCCATGTCTAAACTGCATCACCGGTTCTTTTGTTTGGCTATAGTAGGAAAGGGAAGTTGAAAGAGTGGGGCTGGTGCCCCCAAGAGCATCCCTGGCTTCCCAATCTGAGGTGGTCAGCCTTAGAAGCCAAGAAAGGCTTCTAAGTGGGGTGGAGTGCCTCCATCCTTCTAAGTGCCTTCCTTCATCCAGAAAGTGGGGTGGAGTGGGGGGCTTCAGACCAAGCAAACTCCCAGGACTCAGGACTCTCTCCTTTTTGGAGCACTTGATTCAATGTAGAAAGGAAGGATATTCATGTTTTTGCTGCAGGATTAGAAAATTGTAGTGCGTATTTCTTAAGAAGATATCATACTATGACCCAGGTGTGGTCTGACCAAGGCAGCATGGAACTGGATGACAGGAACCGATATATCATATACAGCCATATTATGCTGTTCAGTGCAGAGGTTTAAAGACTGAAGTTATCTCCAACTAAAACCCAAACACCCCAGGACCCGGCACTTCTGACTTGCAGGGCAAGCGAGGCTCACAACAGGTCAAGCTTGGCTGTGGGGCTTTCTTTCATCCCAGGCCGTTGGCTGTAGGTGTTTGCGCCCACCTTCTCTGCTCAGAGAGCCCCCTCAGGTCCCACGCAGACTGCCCACGCGCGCCGCCTGCCTGCGTGGTTCTCCCTAAGGTGGGTCCTTCTTCCTCCTCGGCTGCCTCCTCCTCCTCCTCCTCCTCCTCCTCGGCGCAGGGCGTGGGGAGGGAGAGTCCGCGGGAGCGCGCCCGCCCGCCCGCCTTCCCCAAAAATCCCGCGCGCACCAGCCGCGTCCAGGCAGGGGCGCTGCGCCTCGCGTTGTCCTCGTCCTCGGCTTGGCTTTGCGGGTGCAGCGCAGCTCACCTACCTACAGAAGCGGGGCGGGTGGGTGGGTGCGCGCGTGGGGGGAGCTTCTCCTCTCTCCCCTGACCCCCTATTTTCCCTCCCCTTCTCCTTCCACGCTCGCTGCAGAGGGAAGGGCAAGCGCGGCCGGCTCACTTTCCCTTTGGCGGCTCCTCCTCCGCTTTGCCCCCCCCCTCGTCCCCGCCTTGCCTGAGGTGCCCCATTGCCTTCCTCCATCCAGAAAGAGGAGGAGGAGGAGGAAGGAGACGAGGAAGAGCATCGCCCCCAACGAGGCGAGGATTCAGAGCGAGCCATGGCTGAGCTGGGCGAAGGCGAGGACGAGATCCAGTTCCTCCGGACTGTAAGCACCTTGAAGGGGTCTCAAGGGGGTGGGAAGGCTGGGGAAGAAGGAGGGGGCCTGGGGAGCAGCACGGCACGTTTGGGCTCCTCGAGGACCACCCGAGAGGCGTCGCGCGAGACGAGCTCTGCGTGATGGGCATCCCTGATGAGTGGGGAAGCGCCCCTCTCCTTTGGCTTCACCTTTTCTCCATCGAGAAGCCAGGGAGGGCGGGGTGGGGTGGAGGGGGGGCTTCAGACCAGGCAAAATCCTCGCCACGGAGTTTGCCTGGTCTGAAGCCCCCCACTCCACCCCACCCCGCCCTCCCTGGCTTCTAAGGCTGACCACCTCAGCTTGGGAAGCCAGGGATGCTCTTGGAGGCACCAGCCTCTCTCTTTGAACTTCCCTTTCCAACTATACCCAAACAAGAGACCCCGTGATGTGGTTTAGACGCGGAGTGAGCCCCGATTTCCCCTCCCTCCCTTCCCTTGACTGGTCCCCCCCCCCCCAACCCGCCTTCTGTGTACTGCAGTAGATTCCGCCAAGCAGCATTGCTCAGCCGAAAAAAAAAAAAGCTGCAACAGTCTCTCTCTCTCCTTCTGGCAAAAGCAATTAAGCGTGTGGGGTTTTCTTTGGAGCGGGAGGAGAAGGAGGAGGAGGAGGAGGAGAGAGATTCCCTCCTGGACCAGGTTTGCCAGGCAATCCGGTGCATTCCGATTCCTGGAGTCCAGAGAGAGATAAGACTTCCACTTCAGGGCAATTGCAGGGAGGTCTTGAAGGCGCTGGAGATGGTTCCAACCCCTCAAGGAGGGCTTTCTTTCTTCAGTGCAGTCCTGTAGTTGCTGCTGTCTATCCAGACACATGGCTCATAAGGGCTCTTCCACACAGTCCTATATCCCACAATATCAAGGCAGGAAATCCCACAATATCTGCTGTGAACTGGGTTATCTGAAGACCAACAGGTCGGAGGTTCAAATCTAGGGAGAGCGTGATGAGCTCCTTCTGTCAGCTCCAGCTCCTCATACGGGGACATGATAGAAGCCGCCTACAAACATCAAAAAACATCTGGGCATCCCCTGGGAAATATCCTTGCATACGGCCAGTTCTCTCACACCAGAAGTGACTTCCAGTTTCTCAAGTTGCTCCTGACACACACACACAAACACACAAAATCCTCAAATAATGTGGGATTTTCTGCTTTGATATTCTGGGACATAGGCTGTGTGGAAGAGCCCTCAAAAGACCATATTTTAATTGTGTTGTCGAACACTTTCATGGTCGGAATGACTGCGTTGCTGTGAATTTTCCGGGCTGTCTGGCCATGTTCCAGAAGTATTCTCTCCTGAGGTTTCTCCCACATCTATGGCAGGCATTCTCAGAGGTTGTGAGGTCTGTTGGAAACTAGGAAAATTGGGTTTATATTCCACACAAGAAATAACAGGATCAGGTTTGTGAGGTATGTATTGTCAAGGGCTTTCATGGCCGGAATCATTCGGTTGCTGGTTGCATTGCCATGTTCCAGAAGCATTTATTGTGTTGTCGAACGCTTTCATGGCCAGAATGACTGTGTTGCTGTGAGTTTTCCGGGCTGTCTGGTCATGTTCCAGAAGCATTCTCTCCTGACGTTTCACCTGCATCTATGGCGGGCATTCTCAGAGGTTGTGAGGTCTTTTGGAAACTAGGAAAATTGAGTTTATAGGGCCAGCTAATCACCTCCCAACAAAGGGCAGTAAGAAGCCAGATCTTAAAATTACTGGGCCATTAAATGCTGATCAAGGTGGTCAATTGAAACATTCACATCAGCCCCAAACAGACAAGAGTTCTTTCTCCCACCCTGGGCATTATTCCACAGATATACAAACCCCATTTTCATAGTTTCCAACAGACCTCACAACCTCTGAGGATGCCTGCCATAGATGCAGGCAAAACGTCAGGAGAGAATGCTTCTGAAACATAGCGATATAGCCTGGAAAACTCACAACAACCCATTGTGAGGTATATTGGAAACTAGGTAAGGGAAGTTTATATATCTGTGGAAGGTCCAGGGTGAGAAAAAGAATTCTTGTCTGTCAGAAGCAAGTGTGAATGCTGAAATTAATCACCTTGATTAGAATGATGAAACCATGAAAATGAACAAAATCTGGTTACCAGTATTAAAAAAAACCCTCTAAAATCAGGACAGTAAATAAAGAACAACACTCTGAAAACAAGGGAGTTCCAGACACGAAACAATCGGGGCCAGCTAACATCCCCTAACAAAAGATTCCCCCAGGCATGAATCAGCCAGGTCTTGAAGCTGCAAGGCTATTCAGTGCTAATCAAGGTGATTAATTGCAACAGTCACACATGCTTCCAACAGACAAAGATTCTTTCTCCCATCTTGGACCTTCCAGAGATATATAAACTTCTCTTGCCCAGTTTCCAACAGACTTCACAACCTCTGAGGATGCCTGCCATAGATGTGGGCAAAGGAGAGAATGCTTCTGGAACACAGCCATACAGCCGGAAAACTCACAGCAACCCACCTTTTTAGAATTAAGCTGTTCCCATGTTCTTGTTTTCACAAGGAGTGCAATCCTCAGAGAGTTTGAGACAGGACTGTGTTTGGTTTTAGATTTCGTTCCGCACAGATGTTTACAAATCTTGAAAAGTGTGATCTATAACATTTTAAAAAATGTAATGTGGACAGCGCTTTGCAGGGATTGCTTGTGAAACCAGTTGGAAAAAAGGAGCACCAGCCAGTTTGGATGGTGTTTTGCAGAATTTTCTCAGAATTTTGTAGTTGTTGGTGATGCTGGTTTGGATTGTGTTCTGGCATCTTACCTGCTCCGTAAAGGCTTGTTTGCGCCTACAAAGCATAACTTATTGATTAGGATGGAGCTGTTATGTAATTTGGATAGAACCACTACCAAATGAGAAACTTTTCCCTTATTGAATCAGTTTGCTTCTGAGGCCCCTGCCACACAGCTGCATAAAATCCCACATTATCTGCTTTGAACTGGAATATATGGCAGTGTGAACTCAGATAACCCAGTTCAAAGCAGATATTGTGCTTTCTGCCTTGATATTCTGGGTTATATGGCTGTGTGGAAGGGCCTTGGATTATATGGTTGTATGGAAGGCCTCTGAGATGCTTGCTGAAATTACAGTAATAGTAAACATATCAAAAGGTTAATGTAGCTGAGGTTTTCTGGTCACCTACTGTTCTGGTTGCCCCAAATATTCTGGAAGGGTTATGCAATGGCAGTCGTACTGCAGGTTAAACATAAGTGAAAATCTTGAAGTGATGTTATCTGAACTCTTGATGGAAAAAAGTGGTAACAAGCATGCGAATGAATGTATCTGGACATATAAAGTCATGTTTGAGCCACAGCACTCAACAGCAAAAGCACATTACGTAAAGCCACTCTTCTGGTGATGTATTTGGGGCTGGGAGTAAAGATCTGGAAATCCCAGCCGGGGATTATTTTTTTTAAACCCTCAGAATGTCTCATTGGTAGTATTAGCAACCTTGAAGGGGGCAAATTAGAAACAGTGGGGAGATTTTGATGTAGGATTCTCACAGGCCTGGGGAAAAGGCGAGCCCCCTCCCTCCAAGCAGCTTGATTTTCTTGGTTCTCTTCCTTTAATCTTGCCAGTCATTTCAGCATTGCATGGATTTTTTTCTGACCGTATCGCAACAGTATTTTGTGTACCATGGTGGTGAAGTAGAATTTTTGAAAATGGCACGTAGTGAGCACTGCAATGGCATAAACATATTTGTTTATGATGTAGGTGCTGTTGTATAATAGCACTGTTATTTCAAAACAAAACAAAACAGGTACTATCCACTTCACACGTCCTTTTGGTAATCTCCAGGGTAGTTGCAGTAAATGATTCTGGTTTGAAATCCAACCTCATAGGGGGATTTTGGCTGTGGCTTTAATGATTCAGCTCTTTATTCCGTTTTATCCTTATTTTCCTTTGCTATCCCAAATAGCAAAAATGAAAGATTTTTAAATATACCGTTTATTATATTGTTACTAATAAATCATCTCACTATTGGTTTGTGGTTATGATCTGTAAAATAGACATCATGGTTACTGTCTAAGCACCCTTCCACCCAGCCATATAACCCAGAATATTAAGACAGAGAATCCCACAATATTTTCTTTGAACTGGGTTATCTAAGTCCACACTGCCACATATTCCAGTTCAAAGCAGAAAATGTGGGATTTTATTCAGCTGTGTGGAAGGGGCCTAAGAGTCATCTAGAAACACCCCATTTCCATAATGCAAGTCTGCAAAGGGACAAGCAAGAGATTCATTTAAAGTGGAATTACATTACCTAGCATTGTGTTTTTTTCCCCTTCTTTTTAAAGAGAACTGTGCAATATCAATCTGTGTGTGAAACCTAGCAGTGAAGTGTCAGTCCAACAATATAATGTAATGGAATTGGTGGATCCCCACAGTGGCGCAATGGGTTAAACCCTTGTGCCGGCAGGATGGCTGACCGAAAGATCAGTGGTTCAAATTCAGGGAGTGGCATGAACTCCCATCTGTCAGCTCCAGCTTCTCATGCATGGACATGAGAGAAGCCTCCCATAGGATTGTAAAATATCCAGGTGTCCCCTGGGCAACGTCCTTGCAGACGACCAGTTCTCTCACACCAGAAGCGACTTTCAGTTTCTCAAGTCACTCCTGACACACACACACAAATGGAATTGTTACTGTATTTTAAGAATGGTATGTCTTTTCCAATTCCATGAATAAACACCAGCAGTTCCATTGTCTCGACATCAACATTCACATGGCTGATATATCTTCCTTTATTGCTGAGTAAGAATTGAAAGCATAAGCAATGAGCTTGGCTATATGTAAGTTGTATTTCCACTGGTGTCTACAGAGTGTACCTCACATCATACACTAATGTTATGAATGTACTGCAAGAAATAAAAACTGCTGTAAATCCAGTTGTGTACAATCTTTTTCATGTCACTGTGGATGGAACTTCCCTTTTACCTAAACTCTGAGGCCCTTCCACT